CGATTCTGGCAAGTGAGGATCAAGGACTATCACAGCTACATGCTGCAGGTAAGGCTGGAAAGAAAATAGAAATGAAAAATAAATACATGAGACAACATCATTTTGTCATCCTCCAAAGTCTTATACTAATCTGTTTCATATCTCTGGCTGTTTAACTGTATGTTTTTTCTACATTGAATTAGAGCTGAATGACTTCATAGAAAACCCTTAACAGTTACATCATCCAGACTCCTACTTTACCGCAGAAATATCTTATTCCTACAGCTCAGTAAGGATCTATCAGAGGAATACGAGCGACTGGTAAATCCAGAGAAAGCTCTTGAGGACTCCAAGTCCCCGAAGATCAAGGTGGAGGCCATGAGTGACATTCCCTTCCCTGTTAGTGAGGAGCCTGAGGCTGACTTGGCCTCCGGGGACCAGGCTTTGCCAATGGGGGTCCTCGGTGCCAATGCTGAGAGGCTGGCTTCAGGGCTGGATGGAGACCATTCTCCTCATACCTCAGGTGAGATCATCCTAATCAAATGTTTTCTACAACATGGACTGATAAGTAGTCATTTCCAAGTTCAGTAGTTTAGTGTTTGAAATGCTTTGTGTCCACAACAGGTCATTACTGATCCCAGTGGTTGCATTACCCTCTTTCAATTACAACTGCAGAGTTGTCTGTAAGCTTTAACTCAGTTCTAAGATTTGACAATATTTGAGGGAGAACCCTAATGAGTCCCTATAAGAAGCTCTTGGAGATAGTGGGGAGGAAGAACTCCCTTTTAACTGGAACACACTTCTAAAAGAAGCAGGCTCACAGAACTGCGGACAATTTCCATTGTTCCATTAGCAACTTTATAGTAGTTTGTAGCAATGTTATTTGTTTGGTAATGGGAATTCTTAAATTAATCTTAATTAATGGGGATTCTTAATTAGAGAAGTTAATATATATTATAGAACTGTGACAGCATGGAATTAACCACATTCATATACTTTACAGTATATGAATGTAGGAACTTTTAAAACTGCTCTTAAAACTCACCTCTTCTCATTGGCTTTTAGCAAGGTTTAACTTACTGTATTAACTTATTGTTTTATCAGTGAGGTGTTTTATGTACTTGTGTTTTATTTTATTTTATATTTGTATTTTATTGTACAGCACTTTGGTCAGCCTTGGTTGTTTTTAAATGTGCTTTATAAATAAACTTGACTTGACTTTAATGAATGATTGTTCTGTTTAGTCGTAATTTTCATTTACTAAGGTTTTCAAAGCATCGACTGTAATTTCAAAAGTTATACATAACTGGTTTCTCTCATGCTCCTTCAGCTTTCTCTTGAAGACAAGGTTTATCACTACAGCAGGTTTATTTAAATAAATGTGACTAAATCCATTTGCCCATTTAGTTGTTTAAAAACAATTCCAATTCGCTCCTTAATTCATCTTTGTTTCATGCATTTCCAAGGTGGAGGTGTGGCAAACAACTCCCCTCTGTGGCCTCAGGTAAAAGTGGAGCCACAGGACGGCGAGGAAGGCCAAGCTTCGGCTCACCATCATCATCACCACCACCATCACCACCACCACGGGGTCCTGGGCGGAGATGTGTTTGAGGACGGTGGGCCCATGTCCACCATGAGTGAGTCAGGAGGAGTAATGGGGCCCTCACCCGGAGGGGTGGGATCTGATGGAAGCTATGCTTCCCATTCGCCCGACTCCATGATGGTTGACGATTTTGACCAGAGACCCAAGAAACGGACAAAGAAGATGTGAGGCTGTTTTGGCAGAGAAATTGACTCTGAGCCAAAGTGCTGAAACACACCAGCGTTAATCTGACAAGAGTGCTGAACTCATGGTGGAAGGCGGGGCTTTTGTAGTTCTTTGTTTTTACTAAATATATTAATGGAGTTAATCACCAAAAGAATAAACATCTTCTGGGGAACCAGCTGCACTAATTCTGGTCATGGAGTGTTTTTCATAAACAAATCTATAAGGAGTTAGCCAACAGTTAGCTTAATGAACAGAGGAAAAGGAAAAACTATGAAGCTCTAATACAAATTGTTTAGTTGAACAACTTCATAATTCAGCTGCAGGGTTTGTTTTCCGGAGCCATTAAGACTCTTGCTCCCTACACACCAATTATTACCATTTAAAATTCATTATCATTAAAAGATGCTCTAAAAAGAGAAAATCCTTGTTCTCGTGAGCATGTCTCTGCATGCGATTATGATGTGTTCTCAACTTTCCCTGCTTCGGTT